CCCCAAAACCCCAAAACCCCAAAACCCCTTCAAGATTTATAATCCTTTGAGAGGCATCTTAATAATTTGAATAATCAAATTATAACTGAATATATTTTATTTGTTATTACAATGAATGAACTGGTAGAGCTTTAGCATCTCAGAAACAAGATAAGTAAGTTCATTCAGAATAAGCATAACTTTGATAATATATCTTCACTGAAATCAAATGCATATTTGTCATATAGAAAATATGGATGCTGAGATTAGAGAGCACCATCGAGATTTAGAAAAAGTGCGTTCTCACAATGACTATTTCTACTTTCTTATGAAGTTAATGAAAGAAGAGGATAAATCTAATTTTTTTATTGCCATGGATGCAGACAAGCATTATCGGGAATATGTTAGAGATCGTTAAATACTTATAGATTCATAAGCATAGAGATAGCTAAGAGAAAGTAATTAAGATTATCAATCATATTAATTATTTTCTAGAGGTGATTGAGATGATATAAAAGCAAAAAGATCATGAAAAAGCATTTAAAAGGACAAAAGAGGAGAGAAGAGAAATTGTTAATTTTAAGGATTGCTGACCTAAAACATTGAAAGATAAAATGACACTACCTTAAGAAGGGGATAGAGCTTTTATAAAGCATGTAGGAGAAGTTTAATTCATAGAAAATGGAAGTTTAAAGGTTAACATTGTTAAAAACTAAAAAGATGAGATTACCAAAGACAAGTATTAATTAAAGGCTATAGCAGAGTTACAAGTAAGTTTGATCGAATTTACCTACTCTTTAGGAATCATCTTTGAAAAGTTTAGTGGGTGAGGTTGAAGATAAGTATGAAAAGTAAAAAGTAGCAAAGTAGAATATCATCGATAAATGTAAATAAATGAACTTTAAGTCTAAGTTGATTAGTGTAATAAATGAAGGAGTAGTTAACTTAAATGATACCAGAAAAACAGTAATAAATTTAAGTATCAATGAATGAGGCTGAACAAGAAACTTAATTGATTAGTCAAAGAGTACATAACTTAATGAAAATGAGAGATTAAATTAGGAATGAAAATTTACAATTAAAAGATGAGTTAAATTTTCAGGAAAAGAATTAGGCTGATTCAGTAAGACTATTTTGCGATGAGCTAAAAAAAAAGAGCTATGAAATGATATTCGTTTAAAAGAAAATATAAGATAAAAACAACAAGAAACTTAAAGAGATGCTATAGTATTCTGAGACAAATAATAAAAGGCATGAAGAGTTTAATGATAATTTGAAACTTCAGTTAGATACAACAAAGCAACATAGAGGAGTTATCAATGAAAAAATTGTAGGTTCAAGAAAAACAGTTCGTGAACTAATGGAGGAGTATCTAGAGGAGCTTGGATTCTACGCAAATTCAAAGAGAACGCTAGAGCAGTTAATAGATGAGTAGGACTTTGATCAGATTAGGAGAATCCTAAAGCACAGGAAATTCTCAAATTATAGAATTAAGGAGTTCAGATTGAATTTGGATTTGCTCTAATAAGAAATTAATGATGGTGTTCAAGATACTGCAAAAACATTCCGCAAAGAGTATCTTAGCAATATACCAGCTAACTTAGGTAGTATAGAGTATTAAACTGCTAGCACCTAAGTAAGTACTGCTAGAAATAAGGAGTAGTAGAAAAAAGGATCTAATATAAAAAGCAGTAAAATGTCTTCAATAAGAAAGAGCAATCTTGAGTTTAATTGAGAGCAAGTTTGCTGGCAAGATTTTATCTAAATTTCTATATATAATCTGAAATATGCAATGAGTCAAAATAAATCATAATTATTTAGCTAATAATAAAATTCATTTTAAACATAAATTATAGAGCTAATATAGATAGATGGGGTTTTGGGGTTTTGGGGTTTTGGGG